TCTATGGGGTTGAGGTCTGGAGACTGGCTAGGCCACTCCAGGACTTTCAAATGCTTCTTACGGAGCCACTCCTTTGTTGCCCGGGCGGTGTGTTTTGGATCATTGTCATGTTGGAAGACCCAGCCTCGTTTCATCTTCAAAGTTCTCACTGATGGAAGGAGGTTTTGGCTCAAAATCTCACGATACATGGCCCCATTCATTCTGTCCTTAACACGGATCAGTCGTCCTGTCCCCTTGGCAGAAAAACAGCCCCATAGCATGATGTTTCCACCCCCATGCTTCACAGTAGGTATGGTGTTCTTGGGATGCAACTCAGTATTCTTCTCCTCCAAACACGAGTTGAGTTAAAAAAAGTTCTACTTTGGTTTCATCTGACCACATGACATTCTCCCAATCCTCTGCTGTATCATCCATGTGCTCTCTGGCAAACTTCAGACGGGCCTGGACATGCACTGGCTTCAGCAGCGGAACACGTCTGGCACTGCGGGATTTGATTCCCTGCCGTTGTAGTGTGTTACTGATGGTGACCTTTGTTACTTTGGTCCCAGCTCTCTGCAGGTCATTCACCAGGTCCCCCCGTGTGGTTCTGGGATCTTTGCTCACCGTTCTCATGATCATTTTGACCCCAGGGATGAGATCTTGCGTGGAGCCCCAGATTCGAGGGAGATTATCAGTGGTCTTGTATGTCTTCCATTTTCTGATGATTGCTCCCACAGTTGATTTTTTCACACCAAGCTGCTTGCCTATTGTAGATTCACTCTTCCCAGTCTGGTGCAGGTCTACAATACTTTTCCTGGTGTCCTTCGAAAGCTCTTTGGTCTTGGCCATGGCGGAGTTTGGAGTCTGACTGTTTGAGGCTGTGGACAGGTGTCTTTTATACAGATGATGAGTTCAAACAGGTGCCATTCATACAGGTAACGAGTGGGGGACAGAAAAGCTTCTTACAGAAGACGTTACAGGTCTGTGAGAGCCAGAGATTTTCCTTGTTTGAGGTGACCAAATACTTATTTTCCACCCTAATTTACGAATAAATTCTTTACAAATCCTACCATGTGGATTCATGGATTTTTTTTTCACATTCTGTCTCTCACAGTTGAAGTGTACCTCTGGTGCAAATTACTGACCTCTGTCATCATTTTAGGTGGGGAACTTGCACAATCGGTGGCTGACTAAATACTTTTTTGCCCCACTGTAGGTGAAACATCCAGGGAGCAAGAAGAGTCTTTCATCGTACCAATAAGCTTCACTAGACCAAGATAACAGGCTGACTGGTGTGGGAACCATCAACACAGATGCTGAGGAAGAGATTATTTCTTACATTTTTGACCTTGTCAACAAAAAAGGAAAGAAAACACTGACACTCCTTATTTGACAATATAGGAGCAGTAAGTGTAGCAGGAGTAATGATGCCACTAATAATGCTGAATAACAACTTATTCAACTTATTCAACATGTATCGAGGAGTGGCCCTAAGGGTACATCAACATTCACCATCTTACAATGCTGTGAATGCAGCCAAGTATAATAGGAATATATGTAAATTAATTTCTCTATAGACTTTCAATTTTTCTGCAGGAACACTTTAAACAGCGTATATAATCATGGACCTATGGTGAGGACTGTAAAGCTGTTAATTAAGGCTGGCTGATAAAAGAGCCCCTCTCTTATCCCCTTTAGTAAAGGGGACCTTACTGCGGACCGAAGCAGCCAGCTTTATTTTTTACAATTATTATAGATGTTTTAAGGCTGTAAACCCCTCACTACACACTTTCTACACTTTTCTCAGACAGGCACGGACATTTTCACACTTTTCTCTCTTGCTTAAACACTCTCAAAGTTCAAACCTTCATAGAAAAATAAGTCCAGTATTAAAGAATGAAACCAAAGGCACCCGCAGGTGCCGTTGACGGTGCAAAGCGTTTTGTTGACATTGTTGTGTTCGTTGGGGAGAAAACTTACAAACATACGGTACAGCACTTCAGAGTCACACTGTTAGCGATCGAAGATTTATGTAAATTTGACAAACTGAACCCATTCTGTACTGTACAGGAGACACAGCACGAGATTAACTGACAATGGTCTACAGCCAATCAGGACCAGAGATGGGCAGTAACGCAATACAAGTAACACGTTACTGTAATCTGATTACTTCTTTCAAGTAACGAGTAAAGTAAGGGATTACAAAAATGGTAATTAGATTACTGTTACTTTCCCATAACTAAAACCGTGATTTTTTTTTGCGAGAGTGTCTCATGACAACGTAAGTGAGTGCGACGTTCGTGGCAACAGCTGTGTGCAGATGAACAATGGATAATATATATGAGTGCGGAAGAGAGTATGAGCGTTTAAAGCATGGAAGTACTGACCTTACTTTGAGTCTGATTCCGTAAAAAGAAAAACATTAGCGTCCGCTGTTTACTGTGTGGGGCAAACATCTGCCTGCTATACAGGTGAAAATAGAGCAACAGGACCGCTGAGTCTTTGATTTTATTTATTTTCTGCTGGGTTTCACTTGAATTTATTTGAAAGACTCAGTGTAAACCCAAAAAATTTTTTTATTTTATGTGCTGGAATGTGCAGAAAATAGGTCTAAATGTTAAACAAATTTCTTCCAGTCAGAGAATGTTGCATATAATTAAATTTTTGCTTGATGCATAAAGTTAAAAGATTAAAACTAATAAAACCAAGCTTTAAAAAGAGACTTTTCCATTTGATTACATTTCATATGATGATTTATGCAGAAAAAGTAGAATTGGGCTGAAAGATGTATTGCTTTATTATCTATTCAGGTTGTAAATCGTGTTTTTAAAAAATAACTGAGTAACTAGGTAATTAATTACTTTTGAAAATAAGTAATCAGTAAAGTAATGGGATTACTTTTTTGGGAAGTAATCAGTAATTAGTTACTGATTACTTTTTTCAAGTAACTTGACCAACACTGATCAGGACACAGAACACAATGTGCTGTGAAAAAAAAAGAAAAGAAAAAAAAGCATGCAAAATTGCACAAAAAAATCTGTGAAATAACAAAGCTGCAAAAGTTGAAATGCATTATAGCGAGGGACCACTGTAGTGGGTTCTCTTCAGTGGCTGCCCGTTAAATCCAGAATTGAGTTTAAAATCCTTCTCTTCACGTTCAAGTTTTTGAATAATCAGGGCCCATTTCATCTTTAGGAATTCATAATACCATATCTAGTCATTTCAGAGAGTGAATTATACTCAACAGAGCACTTTACTGTCAGACTGCTGGCTTACTTGTGGTTTCTGGGATAATTAAAAATTGAATAGGAGGCAGAGCCTTCAACTTTCAGTCCTCTGTAAGGTGGAACCAGCAGACACCCTCTGTTTTTTTTCAAGATTAGATTTAAAACCTTCCTTTTTTCAAGGATATAGTTAGCACTGGATCAGGTTACCTTGAATCCTCTCTTAATTATGTTGCTATAGGCCTTGGCTGCTTATTTATCCTGTATTAATAATTACAAATGAATCAAAATTGCTAAACAGTAAATCAAATTTGTTTAATAATTACATGCATTCAGGACTCAAAATAATGGCTGAAAACCTGTGTAGAAATTATATTAACATGACATCAAAATGGATAGTTTTATCTGACATAAAATGAAGTGATAATTCAGGTTGACATAATGTTTTTAAACCATAACTTTTAATTAGGGCCCGAGCACTAAAAGTGCGAAGGTTTGATATGCCCATTGTCAGGAATACGCAGAGCAATACCTAGTGGGAACAGGAAATGTCATGTCTTTCACTTTGATATACTGATTTTCACAGGTTCATGATGGCCACCTCAAAAGCGGTGAATATTAACATCCGTCCCTCATGATGCTTCAGTGAGAAAATTGTGAGTTTAAACTGAACGGCGCACCCTGGTGGCATGGCGGTTCACCGTGAAAGATGAAGTAGCTTTTGAGGGGCTTAGAAAGTTTAAAAAGTCTTGAAATTTTGCCCACACCTCTAATGCCATGAAGGCTTTCTTGTTATGTGATCATTTCCATGGAATATTGCAAAATGGCTCCACAGTGCCCTCTATAAAATTTTAAAACATCAACCTCTGCTCTGTTTCATCTACGAGTCTGAAACCTGGGAAGCTTATGGAAGGATATCAAGATTTACAAAAAAGTATCTTGGAGCAATATCCCAAATCCAACAGGAAGTCAGCCATTTTAACATTAATGTGTAATTTTGGCGACATTTTCCCTTCTTTTCAGGTCTCGTACTTTGACAAACTCCTCCCAGGGATTTCATCAGATTGACTTGATCTCCAGTGCAGGGAATCTAAAGAGCTTTGTGATGTTAAATTGCAAAGCTTTTTACGTTCAAGGAAATGGGGTGGTCACAACGGCATGGGGAGTTTCAATCACTTGCCAAAAAGCAGTAATCTGCTGTCACTAAGAAACACAATGTCCAACCTCTCCCAAACTTCATAGGCATGAGTCGAGAGTCAAGCTCGGAAATATTTGATATGCCATTCGTCAGTAATGGTTAGAGCACCACCTAGTGGGACGACTATACTCATCATTGAATGAGATGAAATTTTAGCTGGTGGTTCTACGCATGAATTCCATCAATGCTACATCAGATCGGACATGATGGGTGTAGGTGTTGGACATGGCTCGATGTGCCAGGGTGCGAGGGCCCACTTAACGCTGCTTGCAGCTTTAATTTTAACTATTTATGTCTTGAGGGTGTCTAATTCTAACAACCCTTAGCCCCACAGATGCCATCTGCAAACCTTTATAGATATACATAGGTCTAAAAAGACCTTTATAGGTAATTTTAGAAACCATTTACTAATATTTTTTGTAAATTGTTGGCCATGACTACAAGGCTACAAAATAATTTTATTTTAATTTTGGCACAGTTTTAGTATTAATACAGGTATTTTATCCATCTTTTTATCTACAGTGTAAATTAGTACTATTGAACATTCAACATTTAATTAATCAGAACTTTGACCTCACATTCCTTTAATTTGTCAACAGATTTTAGGATATAAAGATGTGACATCCCCAACACAGCGGTATATTGACAGCAAGGTAATACGAACACAAACAGAGGGGGAGTGGTTATCCTTTGATGTTACAGAGGCAGTTAGTGAATGGCTAAACCACAGAGGTGAGTACATTCTGTCCCATCAGTATTGCCTTTTCCCAATTGTTTATGCTTTGTGTTAAATAACTTCTCATTACTTTTGTTTTTCCATAGACCGAAACAGTGGATTCAAGATCAGCCTGCACTGCCCATGCTGCACTTTTGTACCATCAAATAACTACATCATTCCTAATAAGAGTGAGGAGCTGGAGGCACGATTTGCAGGTTATTTGAAAAATGTTGCCTCAAGGCACTTTTATGTTGTAAGGTAGAGACCCTATAATAATAGTTCACACTAGAAAGCTGTTGTGGTTTGGCACCCCAGTACAGCTTAGAATTAATCACCATCTACAACCCAGTCAGACCTCTCACATCATCAGGTTTAGATTTTTTAAATGATCCCAGAATCCGATCTCAGTCTGCTGAGGGTTATTTCAGTTACTGTTGTCCTATTCTTTGGAACAAGCTGCCTGCTGACGTGAGATCAATTACATCTGTGCGTACATTCAATAACAGATTCAAAATCTTTTTATTCACACACATTAATTAATAGGTGTTGTCATTTTCTTTTGTGCTATTTAGCCATTTTCACTGTGTCAAGGCATTGCAAATCTATGCAGGTTTTGTGTTCTGTGTTAAGTAGAGTACATGCAGTCATTATTTCTGTCTGACCCCCTCTCCCTTTAACAGAAATTTCACCTTTCTGTAAGCACTGAAGCTATGCTGATAATTTTACTCTGAATACTTTGATAATGTTTTTTTTGTAATGAACTTTTCTGTCATTACCAGCCCTTGCGGTGCTGCTTATTAATCTCTTATGTTTTCAGGTATCGACGACAACCTAATCCGTGGTCGTGACCTAAAGGTTTTTAGGAAGTGGCAGCACAGTGTTCGGGGTCCACATCTTCTCCTCATGTTGCTACCTTCATACCGCCTGGAGTCCCAGTCCCAACATAAGAACCATCGATCCAAGAGAGCTCTTGATGCTGCCTACTGCTCCAAGTACTTGTCTGAAAACCAAATTGCCAAATGCAAAGCAATAACAATGTCCCTATCTGTTGTGGAGATTTTCAGAAATGAGTCATCAAGTAAAAAGGGGCCAAGCAACACTAATAGCACTAGGCACTGCACAGAATTGGTTGTCATTAGGTACAAAGATATAGAATAACTGTTAACACTCTGACTTCTTGGCTAGAGCCCATAGTGATGTTAAAGGTGAGTGCGTGTTTTAACCCACAGCCCATCAACCACAGCCTAAACTTCAACAAGTAACAAAAGGCACTGATCATGTTCATGTTTCTAAAGTAGAATCACCGTGGTGATTGGTTTAAGTCTCTTTGTGCTGGTTTTCATCTTTGCTTTGAGTTCATAAGTGTAAAAGGAAAAATATTATGTGTACCCTCATTAGGATAGGGTTTTGTGTTGATGTGTTGGATTGTACTCAGGTTTATATTGTTAACTGGTAATTATGTGACAATGCATTAATGTAACTATAGTGTAACAAATGAGTTTCATTGTTACTTTTGAGTGATGACCCCTACGCAAGCTATTTTGTTCTTACCACTGTGCAATACGTCATAATGCCATGCAGTCCCTATTTTAAATAAGGAAACATCTTTACCTCCAGGTGAAGGGGGAAAAGTAGCAACAGTGTTGTAAGAAAAAAAGTCTGTACCAGTTCAAGTCCAACTGAAGAAACTGGAACAATTTTGTTAAACGAAGAAGCCAGGAAGAGCACAGCTTTCCAAAGTTTTTTCCAACAGAATGCTGACAATTTGAAAACAAACAAATAAAACAAGGTTCTGGATATAGCTTTCCTTTTCTTCGTGAACTACGCTTGATGTACCCTTTCCTGGTGAATTAAAATGAAAAACTGTGCATTGGTTCAGTTCCCACAGTCCCTCTCTCTGGACAGCCAATGGGGCATACATACTAAGGCACTGATGCTTGGCAGCACGCAGAGAGTGTCAACAAGTTGACCACTAACTGGTATTGCAAACTGCTTTCAAAACAGGCTGAAAGCAGAAGTGAAAGGCAACACCCTGGACAACTTGTTGGCTGATCTGTTTAACTTTGTATATTTATCTTTTCTGGTTCAGTGGTTGCCCACAATAAGTAAAGAATCTAATCTGAGCGCATCTTCACCTATCTTCATCTCTCCATCTGTGACTTTTTATAGACTGCACACACTAGTGACAAGAGGATTCCCACAGCTCTGTTATTCACTTTTCCACTTTATGTCTTTACAGAAATGTTCAGGATAACTGCTGCTTACGATCGCTCTACATTGATTTTAAGAGGGACCTGGGCTGGAGGTGGATCCATGAGCCCAAAGGCTATGAGGCCAACTTTTGTGCAGGGGCCTGTCCATATCTGTGGAGTGCGGACACCCAGCATTCCAAGGTACTGAATGAGGAAGTTTGAAAGGCTACACAGTAAACGTAAACATGAATGCAGTCGCACTGCACTGTAAATCAGATTTTATTTTATGATATGGTTCTAATATGTATATTCCAGGTGTTAGGTCTGTATAACACCATCAACCCTGCAGCATCGGCATCCCCCTGCTGTGTCTCCCAAGACCTGGAGCCTCTCACTATCCTGTACTACATCGGCAAGACCCCCAAAATAGAACAGCTCTCAAATATGAAGGTCAAGTCCTGCAAGTGCAGCTAGAGGTCCTTAGAAAATACATACTCTTCTTTCATCCAGAGTGGAGTGAGTTAACGTACCGTCAAAGTGCCGCTGCACTCATTTACTAGCAATCCTACAGCAGTCGTTTTACACAGGCATGGCCAGGAATGGTGTATTAGAGAATAAAAGGAACAAGTCAATGTGAGTTCAATGCATATTCAACATACAGGACCAGAGCAGTTATACAGTGGGGCAAAAAAGTATTTAGTCAGCCACCGATTGTGCAAGTTCCCCCACCTAAAATGATGACAGAGTAATTTGCACCAGAGGTACACTTCAACTGTGAGAGACAGAATGTGAAAAAAAAATCCATGAATCCACATGGTAGGATTTGTAAAGAATTTAT